ATGTATGTGTTTATTTATTTTCACATTCAGGTATTCCTTAAAAAACACCACAAACAACACCCACTGAGCAATGGGTAAAAAGCAGATAGCTTGCATAAAATATTACTTATATTAGATGAGCACAAAGCCAGGTTATATTTCAATGCTCTCTTTACCCCAAAGAGATACAGAGAAGGATGGGGAATGATTTAATGTTAATTACTATAATAATAATGATGATTTTTTAAAATTATTATGTATTAGAAGGGAATTATTAGGTGTGTCTCTTTAATGTGTGGGGTTCTCAGGAAATAGACCATTGTGGGCAGTCAGCACAATTTTATTGCTTTTCACAACAGTTACAACACTTAGAACTTCAGTGAAATGAAAGCCCACAGAAAGAGTGTTGGGGACTTCCTCCCCTGAAGAGGAGAGGGACTGACCTGTGTAACCCAGCCACTGGACACCTTGGTTTGAAAGGAATGTGTTGGTGTTGTTCAAGGTTTCTGGTCCCGTGGTCTGTCTTGGATCACTGTGTTTGGGTCAATCCTCGAGGAGATGCAATTAGAGCACCAATTAAGGCAGTGCTGGAGGAGATGTGTTGGGCTGTAGGTGGACCCTGCCTCTTCTACCAAGGCTTCCATGACTTTAGGGATGGTAAATAAAGTCAGAGAGGCTGTTTGCTTCCTTAAGACATGGAGAACTGTGAAGAAGACACCAATTTCAAATGTGACAGTCCTGAGGAAGCTTGAAGAGCAGGGGTTCTGTGCCCACAGTGGCCTCCCAGCCCGTGCCACGGACATGGGGAAACTTGCTGGCAGCAGGAATAGTGCCAGGCTGCTGGGTGGAAGGGAGAGACAGTGGCTACAAGGAGTGGGATTGAATGCTGTTAAACAGAGCATAATGTACAATGTTTATTTGAAATTAATGAGGCTTGCATGTCTTCAAAATGCATTTTAATATTTAAATTGTGCAAAAGTAAATTATTTAAACAAAGTGTCCATGAATTATCACCCTTGATCACCCAAGCTGCAGTACTAGAAAATGAGAAACAAAGAGTGCCTAGGTCAGTGAGGTAAAGGAAAGGCTGCCCCCTTTCCATATTGAATTTTTTACACTGTCAGATCACCTCTTTTCATTTCTGTTCAGCTGTGGGAAAGGTGCCTTAAGAAAGAAGTCTTAAAATGAGACCCAAATCAGGACCTAGTATGTAACTGAGTGATTTTGGTGTTCCAACCACCAATATCCACCACTGAGGGAACAGAGCAAATCGACCCGCATAGGTGGATTAATTCTGGCATTCGACAGAGAAGAAACAGCTATGTCAGGAGCTTCCTACCATCTTCCTTAATTCCAGAGGAAGATCAGTCCAGCAACTATTCCTACATCTCCTCCCAAACAGGGCAAGAAAAGAGGGTTTTATTAAGGGCTCCCAGCTTTCTAGGAGAAAAGAGTGTCTGAGCTTCCTCCCAGATTTGCAGGGCTCCTGCTCTATGCACACACTGTGAAGAAAACCAGAACAAGTGAGATGGTGAGAGAGCATTTCATTGCAGAGAGCTACTAGACCTTGGATCTCTCCCCTCCTTTGTTGGAAAAATCCTTGGACAAGGGAGTAGTTTTATTTCTTCTGCTCGCCAGAGCGGAGCTACTGATGGGTCCTTCATTAACACAAGGAGTAAAGGGATGCCCCAGGAAATAACAAAAGTATTTTGGTATTTTTAAACTTAGGCTTTGTCTTACACCCTCTCCACCAAGAATTTGTGAAAATTTCATAGAACAAGACGTGAAGAAATCAATAGAGGAAACAGCATCTGAACCACAATGCCGGCATTTAATGTCTCCTTGTGCATTAAATTACCCAATTAATGTTTCCTGTTGCCTTAGCCTGTTCTAATAAGGCTTGACTGTCGCTTATCAGCCCCTAATCTTCTAAATGATGAGCAAGAACTGCAGCTGGATTTACAAGAGCCTTTGGGGCACAATACCAAACTCCCAGAGTGACAAAGATCCATCCTTGGAATTATGCTTATTAGGGTTTCTCATTCATTATCATTTACTTCACACAGATATCCACTAATAAGATCAGATTGACTTTATTATTTATTAAGTACTATTAAAATAGATCCACTGGACAATCAATTTCTGTATATAAATAATTCCTCAATAAATAAGCTTTTTTGTTGCATAAAAATGTCGTTTCAGATACCAATACTTCTTTGAGTTAACTGAGTTTGCCTGCTATGTGGGCTTATTTTTCCTGAAAGGCTGCTATTTAGTTTAGATTGTTTTGGGGTAAGAAAAAATTTTCCAGAGTAACTGAAAGTAATTTTTATGGGCCATGTCCATGAGTTAGCTAATTAGAATAAAGATGTTGGGAAAGAGTGGTAGGTAATGAGTAACTAACAGGGATAAATGATTTTTCATAGACAATGGCAGTGTCTTCAGAATAATAAATACTTTCCTGTTGTATTATAAAAAATAAATAAATCTATTTTACTAAGAGAGACTTCTTATGAACTGTGAGGCCAGTTGGGGGGAGGAATAGATTCATTTAGATAAAATGCTATTAAATTGCCTGCATAGTGTCCTGTCAGACAACTATTGATCTCATCCCATGGGAGACATTGATTTCTGTGCAGAGAGCTATGTGCTCTCTGCAGTGCCTTGCTCCAGTGCTATTGCTCTGCTAATCACACGCTGCTGCCTCTTTTCCTTTCTCTCTCTTTCTGACTATTTGTTGTGCAAAGATTGATTGAGAGACATGAAGGATTCAGATTGCAATAATTGTTGTTTTTTGACCTTTCCAATTATATTCTGTTAAATATGTAAATAGTTAATTTGTAGTTCTGCACAGAGGAATTAGCTGAAGCAGTCTGCGAGGAAGGCTTCCAGGGGGATGCTTGTACCTTTGTTCTCCTGCAGACCTATTAGAGCTGACTCACTGAAGGGATTTTGAATGCAGCTGAGAATTCTCCCTGCTTTGTCAAAGCAGTCTAGGCCACTTCTCAACACAAGATCTAAAGATGGCAAAATAATTCAAACTTTTAACACTAGAATTGCGTAAAAGCTGAAAAGTGAAATGATAAGTGATTAAGCATCCTTGCTTTGGTTTCCTTCTTCTAGGCATAAGTACCCTTTGTCAGCTCTCATTATTGTGAGTCATTTTTTAACAATACAAAAATACCTGAGGTCAACTAATGACAACATTAAAGTTGAAACCGACTTTTAAATCTCCCCCCTTTGAATAAGAAACAAGGTCTTTAATTGCCATGAAATGGTCTGACATTGTTTCTTGGATAATACAGCTTCAGTTTATCTGATGAGTTATGTATATACTTGACTTTTTCTACTATTTCTTGTCATTCTTACGCTGGTTTCATTCTTATGACTCATTTATCATCATCATCAGTACTAAGCAGTTGTTTGAATGTCAGCTTGTGGGGATCAAGGCCCTTGCTTTTCTCTGGGACCATAACTTGGCATTTGCACATGGAGAAAAACTTCTGAATGGGAAAAGCCAGGGTAGACCTTCTGGCTTCAAATCATGCCAGTGCCAAGGGCATAGAGAGGGGAAAAAATATCTGTTGGTAAATCACAGCTGTATTTTAGTAGTCGCAGGCTGCTGCTAGGAAGGAAAGCATAGGATGGATCCTGTGGAAGATTTTCAAAATCTGATGGGACAAAGTCCTAAGTAAACAAGTCTAACATTAAGGTTAACTATTCTTTAACAGAAGTTTAGATTAGAGAACTGCCCTCATTCTCCTCACACCAAGGTCTCTTTGAAATTTAATCTTTCTATGATTTTATGAATTCAAGTCCTGGTTACATTTAAACATTTGCCCAAGATAACTCCTTGTTAGGACATCAGCTCTAAGCTACAAAATGAAGCTCTTGTTTTTCAGTTGCCTTTTAATGCTTTGGGCAGCACAGCAAGTGAAGACACATTTCTTCTCCTCTTCATTAGTCTCTCCTCCATGCTAGCATTTCATCACTGAACATATAATTCAACTTTGCTTCAACATTGGAGGAGGCAAACACTGACTTCTTGTGTGCATTCTGGAAGTGCCCAGGCAGCAGGGAGAAGTCCATATCTGACAGCATAAGGTGCATGGGAGCAAACACATTTCCCAGCTGTGGAGAAATGCAGCTGAGATGGGAATGCTCAAGCAGAGTGACAGGAGTAATTGGAGAAGATCACTGGCTGCAGCTCCCATATCCAGCACCTCTAAACTTTTGGCCCAAAGTTGTGACATTCTCTCCTTCCATCTTGGAGTGGAGAAAGGGAAGAAGAACCTGTGCTGTGTGGTTTTGTTTGAAATACAGAGGGAGGGAGGTGATAGAGTAGGGAGGATGAGGAGCCAGAAAGACAGAAGGAAGATGAAAGTGTGGGGTATTTGTACTTGGGAATTTGCGTATGGAATGCACAATGTTACATGTATTTGGTGACACACCACTGTATGAGCATATATGAAGGAGTCAGGTGTGAGGAACAGCAAAAAGTCCCAACAGTGAGACCAGCATCAGAAAATGGGCTCTCTTCCTTACCTGTTCACACCTATCAGAAATTTGCAAGTCTGATTGGGACAAAGCTGACGCCTTGCTGTAAGCAAACTGGGACTAGAAATTATTGTGAAAGGGATCTTAAAAACTCCAGAGGTATACAAAAATCAATCCTGGGACCAGTTTTGGTTTGCTTATGTGTCTCCTTTGTTAAGGAGAATTTAATTTGATAGCCTATTAGAAGTACATCTAGAGGGAACTGCCCCTTACTGAGTGTTTCTGTGTTTCTCTCTCAAAACAGGGTGACTTTTGCACTGTAATTACTTATTGTAAAATAAACATGGCAAGCTACTTGCAGTTGAAGAGCCTAGTGTTGCTAAACCCAGGATTTTCCTAAGGCAGCCTTGCAGTCCAAGTACCCTAACTTCCATTGGCTTGTGTTTGTCTGTACTTCAGAGAATATTTAATCAAGGAAAGAACTGCACCCCATCTCTGTCCCCATTAATTTATGCAAGAATCCATCATTTTAACAGAAACTTTATTTGTGCATGTGGAAGGCTTTGACTTTCATAAGAGGGAGATCATAGAAGGGGAGAAATTGTCAAAGCTGATGGTGAAGGATGAACTGCTTGCAGGTTTGGACTGATGTTTTTCTTCTATTCAGCGTCTTCCTCCTTTTCCACCCATGGCTAAGGAGAAATGCAGAGAAATTGTGAGGACAATAAAAAGCGAAGTTGCAGAACAGGAAAATATACAGACCATAAAAGCATTGGCTACAAACCTTCCCAGGTCAGAAATCAAAGGTCTCTGTTACAATTTGAAAGACACTTTTTGAAATTAAGAACTTCAATCCTGTCTCCAAGGCTCTTCCTAACCCCACAGGATCCTACTAACACAATTAGCATCCTTACTGATGCAGTCAGATATAGACTAGGCTCTCTCATAATTTGGTTTGTTTTATCTGGTGTGGGTTGCATTAACCTGGCAGAGTGATGAGGGAGATTTATGTTGTTCTCTGCTTTGAGCTGGTAAGTGCAGGCAGATTCCTGTGGTTTTGACCCAATGAATTTCCTTTCAAGGAAAGAAAGCTCAGCTGTTCTTAAAGGCCCCAAGAAGCAGACTAATGATTCCTGTCTGTCAGTCTGATAACTCCATTCTCATGGTTCACTGTTTTTTCCCACTATATCTGCTTTGCATGTTCAAGTGTGGAGCCCTTGATTTAATCCTAAATTTGTAATTGAAAAAGAACTATTGAACTGCCTCTGTGGTGCTGATGAAAGCATAATCTAAAAGTCCATTGGGCTTTTTTTTCTGTCATTGTGTTTCAGATTTCAGACTCTGCTGTCCACTCATACCTTTGCAAGTTTGTGTCAAAGTTATTTCCACTAATTCCCCAGTTTCATTTTCCCACCAAATTTAAAGAAATAAACAGTAAAAATATTGTTTCAAATACAAAGCAGCCACTCCTGTTACTTGCATCCCTTCATCTAGTAAATGTACAGTAAATGAACTGAAGTATTGCTGACTGCTCAGAAGTCATTTGTTAATTCATCTTTATCAAGAGGACTCTCACTTACAGATGGACTGGACAGTGGAAGTTGTGCCTCCCCTGGGAACTCCACCTCCATGAGCTGTGGCCTCCTTGGACATTGTGTCAGAGGCCCTGGATCCACCAGAGATCCCGCGGCTGGTATAACCTGATGAGTGGGTTGTGCCCCTGGCACCTAGGACAGTTACAAAGGACAAGTTACTGACAAAAAAAAAGGAAGGAACCTTACAGGACAATTACAAACTACTGTGTTTTAAAACAATTCAAGGCTAGCAAATGTATCAAAATGCAAGGTGACTGCTGATCACTTGACTTGTTCTGTCAGTCTGCTCCTTTTTAGCTGCCACTTTGGGAAAAGGATATTATCAGTACTGTTGGGGAGCCCCCAGAACACCCCAGAACCTTCAGAAAATTTATGGCTCTTGCACAGACTGTTTTTGATAAACCTGGATCTCTGAAATAGTTTCAGCACAATTTGCCTCTGCTGAAATTTCACTTTTCTTTGGAGCTGCCTGAGGACTTTGGACAAACTTCTGTAGAAACTAGGAATTGTTGCACTTTCTGTTCCAGGTGATGAACATGCTCCTTTCACTTCACTTTCCCTCACATAAACCTGTAATAGATACCTGTAAAATTCAAGTACCACAAGTTGTGGTAGCCAGTGGCCAATTAATATGTATATCTTCACCTCAGCCTAAATAAGCCCCAAGCAAAACATTCCTTTGCAAACTCTTCTTCTCCTGGGAGAGAAGCAAAGCATCATCAGTGATGACAAATGTTAGTGATAATGCTTAAAGCCTTTCTGGAGGATGCTCAAATATTTTGGTGATGAGCTTGTAATAACATCTTCTGTAAAGTGACACTGAACAATACTCATGCCCCACTGCAGAATCAGCCGCTCCTTGGAGCATGTTTGTTCTGGGGGGAGGAAGGGTTACAGTCTGAATGAAAAGGTTAAGAAGATGTGTTTGGAGAGATTTCAGTGAGCACCTGCGGAAATGAAATCAGGCCCTTCTAGCTCTCAATCAGGCAAAGAATGTGTGGCAAGCTCTCTTGCTGCAGGGAGCCAAAGCTCACACCTGTCTTGGCAATGTTACAGAGCTAGCATTTCCACATGGATAAAAGCTCTTTTGGAGTATCTCCTGTGGGCATGGCTAAGGTTTCCTTGAGTCATGCAGACTTCTCTTCACCAAAATGGTGGTTTTCATGAAAGTCCATAGCTAGCACAGAGGTTGCAAGAATAAAACTAGGTGTAGTTAAATGCTTATTTTGCTTCTGTTTCTTATAAAAATTCTCAGCACACAGAGAGAGAGAAATCTTCAGTGTTTTAGTTTAGAGCTGGCAACTTCATGCTCTCTGTAGAGCATCTACACTGAAGAGTTTGCCACTGGTAGTGAGTGTGCTGTACCACCCTCGTCTGTAACAGAAGGAGCTTGTGCAGCTGACTAACTTATCACTAGAGTGAGCAACTGGCATCTCCTGCATACCAGGATTTCTGCTGCTGAGGCAGTGTGGTGCCTGAGAGCAGCTCTCCTCTCTGCTTTTCACTCTCTCTATCCCCCTCCTCTCCTGACTTTCTCTCATATTCTGTCCCTTGGCTGCTACTATTCCTTAAGCTCTTTCCTACTGAATATTCAATAAACACTATATTCAGCAACCTATACTTAAATCATACAATGTGAAAATTAAAAAATGCCTCACAGGAGTCACATGCAGTATGTCTCTGAATGACCCTTATGTCACCTATTCACTCACTGTCTAGAGGGCCTCACTCTATGAATAATATTGGCAATGTAAATCATATCTTAAAAAAAAAAAATCCAACTTATTTCCTTTCAATTAAGCTTAACACACTTTTGGCTATTAAAAGATGCCCTGAATCTGGACCCTGGCGAGTTCACCTGGTCAACCACCCATTTTATGGCTGGAGAAGTCACATTCAGCTCCATCTTTTGGATTTCTACCTGCTGATTGTGGAAGTAGTAGACCAGTGGTAGACCAATGTGGCAGAGATGCCCACCTATAATCAGTCTGCTGGCTGGCAATCCTCTGACACATGGGACACGTGGGTCTGAGACCCCGAGGGCAGAAGGGGTTTGGAAGCCTCTATCCAAGGTCAGAGAGCTAATACTGAGCTGCTGGGTAAAGCAGGATTGCAGGGGGCACTCTGTTCTGTGGAGGCATGCCTGTTCAGAGGATGCCTGCTGAATCAGGTCACACAGGCAGCTCTGGCAGGGAGAATACCTTGTGCACAAATCCCACGGGATCTGGAGTTAAACAAGTGCCAGGCTGGTAAGAGTTGTCTGGGCAGGGACTGCTCCCAGCCAGCAGCAGAACAGCAAACACCTGCACGGTTAGCTCATGTGAAAGGCAGCTATGCCTTATTCTAGCACTTAGATAGGAGATGTCAAGGGTATGCACACATTCCCTTCATTAATTTATCTCTTGGACTGCAACTAATTTCTCTCCTCTACAGAGTTTCAGGAGTTCTCCCTGTATGGATGTGAATAAAGAGCTAGGGAAATCTGATAATTAATATGAAATGTAGCTACACAGATCATGTTCTTGCATAAGTGCATCATTGCTTGTTGCTATCATGACTCTTCATATTTTTGATGATTCCTGGCAGAATGGAGAGATAGTAAAAACCTCAAATAAACACTGTCCAAAACCTCATTAATACCACATATGTATATTTTCATTCATACATAGTATGTGCACACACAGAAAACACCCTCAATAACATGCTGCTCATAACACACAGTTAAATAGAGGGATCTTCTTTCTTCAGTGCCATACAGAAATGTAGGAGAGAAGAGATTATTTGGCAAGCTTATTTTCAAGGAGAAACAGCTGTCTGATCCTATGCATTGAACCACAAAACCACACACAGAGTCACACACAGAATTGCTCATACCCATTTCCTGGAGAGTAGAAGTGGGGCCACCAGAAGGCACACCTCCCCCAGAGGCTCTGGCTTCTTGGGACATCAGTGATGAAGCAAGGGATCCTCCTGTGATCCCAGAGGGAGTGAAGCCAGCGTTGCGGACGTTCTGGTCAGACATGCTGCTTTCTGCTGGTGAGAATTCCAGGGAAGCACTCAGGCACCGCTCAGGGACTGCTCAGCCCATCTTTTTATACACTCTCCAGCTGATAGAGAAGAAATGAAACTGCTGCCATGGTAAGGTAGAATAGAAACTGAAACTTATTCTCAGCCAGGAAACGAAACTGAACTTTATCAATAGGCCTTTTTTTTGCTGTTGCCATGATGGAATTTAGGCAAACCAAATAATTTCCTCTTGTGATACTAAAACAAATTACTGGTGCAGGAGTCATTGCTTGGCAACTGAAGCAGCTGAAAGCTCTGCTTCTTAACTCTTTTGCATTGCACCCTATTGCACTGAATTGCATCTGTAGAAGGTACTGCATTGTTTTAAGTATTCCTACAACTCTGAGTAAAGACAAGAGACAAAAAGGCAGTAAAGTGGTGGCATGCAGAGACTTCAGGTGGATTGGTTACCACACCCAGAGTTCAGCTGTGGTACAGCTACCCCTGAAAACACTGGTTCACACAGAGCTGGAAATCAGAACCCAGCTAACAATGGATGGTTAGAATTAATTTCTATATGGATGGAACCATGAGGGGACCTTGTGTCATATGAACAGATTGACACAGTTGCTTTGTTCTTCTTCATGCAAGTCCCTCTGAAGCAGAGCCTCTGCCTTTAATGAACAGGCCTTTGCAAATGGCACACATGCCTTTATCACAGCCTTTCTTAGCCAGGAGTTTAAACAAGGCTCATTAAAAATCCATGGACCTCCCTTAGGTAAAGAACAATATCTGATTAGCACACACTACCACAAGAATGGCTCTCAAAGAGGGAATATACAGAACAAAACTCTAGTGTTTTCACAATAGTGTGATATCTATATCTTGTACATGATGGGTTATAGAACAAAGGCTATGAAGCCTGTTCCTCTTCTCTTATAGGTACTATTTATCTGAGCAGTGGGATATCTGGCCCACGTACCCCTAATCAGCAGTGATCTTTTAACTCTTTCATTCAACTCTTCTTTAATTCATGTATGTTAGTTTCCTTAATTCTAATGTCAGTTATTTTTGTTTTCTATTCTGTTTGCATTAGGTCTTCTGTAATTATGGTGTATCTTTAACCCATAATTTCTCAGGTTCCTCATTTATAATTTTAATTACTTAATGTTAAAAAATATCTGAAGTTGAAGCTTAAATGCAGGTAAAAATTCCACATAGTGGACAGTGATAATAGGCTACAGGCCTTCTTCAAAGTCACAATAAAACCATAAATGTCAGTTTCTTTGTACATATTGCTGCAGAATCCTCCTTCAAAAATAGTAAAATCTTTCAGTGCTTTGTTAATATAATTTATTTAATATTGCAAACAGCCCATTAGGAAATGATGGTAAATTCTGGCAAAGTCAAGGAAAATGAAGGCTTTACAGGCTGCAGACACTCTATATGAAGTGACAATTTACTCAGTCCTAAACTACAAATCATAATGGACACACACAAAGTTGTTTTCCAAAGAATAAATAAAACTAGATATAATGAAAATTTTATTAAAAAAAAAAAAGTGTCTCAAGGCAATTCATATTGGCAGAGACATCAGAAAATAAGCAAGGAAAGAAGAAATTAGTACAAGTCTCATGAAAATAAGATGAAGAAACTCAGTGTAATAAGGAAAGGAAAGCCACTGGAGGGATTCAAGGGAAGCCTTGGACTTCACCCTACAAACTTGCCCAATGATTTGGACTCTACATTCAATCTGCCTTATCATCTCTAGATCTGCTATGCTCACCTCCCTTGGTGGGACAGCACCTTGCTGTGCCCTGGCAACATGTGACATTGACATCACAGCCTCCAATTTAGAAAGACACAGTGGCACTGATGAAATGGGATTGGGAACAAGAGCACAGTTCTTGAGCCTGCAGCTTCCAGAGGTCCTCTCTCTCTATTGATTCTTCCAGAAAGGTGTGCTTCTCCTTTGACTGAGCAGCTTTGTGTGAGACATTTTCCTAAATGGTTCCCTACCTTTATTTTAATTTTTTTTTTGTGCTTTGTGTTACTGGCATTTATAGTTAGAAAAGGTGACTTCCAAGAAATTAGCCAAGTGTAGTTAATGTTCAGCTGTGTTTTCAAGGAAGCTGGCACAAAAGCAGTCAGGCAGTTGTAAGTCTCTGTGGACTATTTGTCAAAATCCAAGCAGTGATACTTTAAGAGCTAAATGGATGCATCTTCTAGTTGAAGTATGGAAAGGAAAAAAAACCCAAAACAATTCAGTTTTATGTCAGAGGTTGGCATAAGAACAGTAAATTGTACCTGGGAGAATATCGGGGTAAGTTAGCTTCCCCATTCCAGAAACGAAAAAATTGTTGAGGGGGTGGGTGGTGTGAGCTGACCTGAAAAGCATCCAGTGGCCCTTCTAAGCCAGAGAGGCCAGGAAGTCAAAGCCATGAATACCAAGAGTATGACTGCTCTTATTTTCTGTGTCACTACAATTTCAGTAGCCTTAGGTGCTGGAGCACTTGAATACAGAGCTAACAGTTCAACTGTCTGAGTTTCAAGTACAAATGAAACCCATAGGTGTCAAAAATCTAGACTATGTGCTCTTTGAAAGGAATTGGAAAGCCAGAGGCTGGATTGGAAGTACTCTGAAAATTTGAGTGGTGGGCATTCTTCTCTTCTTAAATTAAAAAGGAAAAAAAAAAGAAAGAAAAAAAGGAAAGATTGGCTAAGATGAAAACATCAAACAAACCAATGCAATCAGATCTGCAGGCAATATCTTCTATATATCTTCTATATTTTCTATATCTATATATCTTCTATATTTTGCTTAGAAGGACCTTAGTCTCTTGTGTTTGTGGATATAAACTGATGTGTCTCTTTGGTATGTTTTCCTTGCAGTCCCCACTAGTGTGACACTTCGAAATATTTACCTCACAGTGAAGCTGGGCAGCTGATCAGAGCCATTAATCTCTGCTTTTGGTGGTCACCTTTTTTATTTCAATAACATGTTCATTGAAGTCACTTTTTCATAAACATTTTCCCATAAACCTCTGTTTCAAAAGAGATTATTCAAACAGCTTTTAAACAATTAATCTTTTGAAGGGTCTAATTGAAGGAAATAAACCTGTAGAGAATCTGACTGAACCAAAGATCTTCAGCATCCAAGATTATCTATCTGTCACCCTCTGACCTATTTCCTTTACACTACTTTTTAATTTTTGTAGCAATTATAGTGTATATGGATAATACCTATTAGCATATTTATGGTCATTGCTTCATATTTATTGTCTGCACAACTCATTAATCTTCATCTAGTGTGTGAGGCTGACAGCTCAATCTATTTTGCAATCTCTGGGCAGCAGCCATATCCAAAAAGCTTTTGTTTCCCTGTAAATAAACTGTGTTCAGGACCAGAGGACAATGGTACATCATGCAGTGATTGACACAAGCCATGGCTGCTAATCAAAAGTAGATTTTATTACCAGCTGAGTCAAGTGCATTATGGGGGCATTGTTCTAGCGCTGTCAGGGCAAGAGCATACGTAGTCAGTCACCTTCTCAAGATGGGCTGATTGTTCTCCAAGATTAGACAGAGTTGCCTTATTATCCATCCCAGACAACAAGGCATCTCACCCAAACAGACGCCTTTACAGAAACTGCCTGTACATTGAATTGATTTGAATTGCTAATGCATAATCTGTCCAGCACAGATGTGCAATGAATATTTGGATGTTGTTTTGCATGTCAGTTGAGAAGACTGAATGATGAGGTGATGATCGTTCAGTGATGGGTACTGGACATTTGCCAACAATTGAGTTTGAGCACTTTCCCTGACAGTAATCAGATCAGCTTCCAAAACGTCTTTTCTTCAATTCACTGACAATTTATGTTAGAAGATAATGCAACTCTCTCACAGTTAACACAGTTGGCAGCAATTTGCATTTTTTTCGTATAATTAAATTTTTCATTTCACCCAAGAAGAAATACATGCAAGCTGCCTATAACTGATACAGATATTCCAAGACACTTCCAAAGTATCTCCACCAGAATAAGAGGCCATCTAGATAGGCCAAAAATGGCAAAACTCTTCACAGTACAGGTAGCACTAGTTTTATTGGTTATAAATTTTTTTTCACATTTGCTGTGAAAAAATAGCAATCTTGCTAGCAAGCCTTACTAGATAAGGTCTTCCAAAAAACCGGTTAATTAAATCACATTTAACATATGACCATCGTCATGCTTAGGGTAGGTCAGCAAACACAATTATATGACTTAAAAATTTTCAGTGTCTGTGAGGATTGACGTTGTGTAAAATAAGAACAGAAAAGAACCCTAAAAGACTGATATTATGATATCAAGGGGCTGATATGAGCTCACACAGTGACATCACATGATATGTGTGAATGTGAAAGAGGTCTTCATGTAGTCATAATCATAGAATCTTAGAGAAATTTAGGTTGGAAGGAAGCTCTGGAGATCATCCAGTCCAGCCAGGAAATTATCCTGTTATTTGCTCAGAGACACATTTAGTTGAGTTCTAAGTATCTCCATGGATGGTGATTCCACATCTTCTCTGTAGAACTTGGTCCATTATTTGACCACCCATACAGTGATTTTTTTCCCTTGTGTATCTAGTCAGAATTCTGCAAATTATGTCTGTTGTTGTCCTTTATCTATGCACCTCCAAGGAGATGCTTCACCTTCTTCACGTCCCTCATTATTAAAACCCTACCATTAGGCTATAAGTAGCTAAAAAGGTGCTGTTAGCTTACAAAATCAGAGGATTGTAGGGACACTTCTCTGATATCCAAGGAATTTTACCTTCTAACTTTTTTTAGGTATGTGTCTAGTGAATCTCTAATCATATAAGCAATCACTTTTCCTCAGAAATAAATACTAACACTTCTCAAGAACTTCTAGAGCTCTTTTTAGAATAGACATTAATTATTGCATGGTCTTTATCTGTCTTTCAGAGGTAGAGAAGAGTACTCATGAGTGTGTAACATAGGGAAGAATCGCTTCCTTTAACTTATCAATCTTCTACTACCCAAATTTACTATAGCTAGGAAAAGG